TATCTCTGTTGAGTTTCTTTTCTCCACCTCTGTTACAGTCCGACCCGCCTCTCCACCGCCACCATATTTCTGTTCACTGTCTTACCCACCCCTCTACCGCCACTAACTCTTTGTTCTCTGTTGCCCCACCCCTCCACTGCCACCATCCCTTTGCTTCACATCTCTCCCTAAAAAACCTTCAAATTTGTTCCTTCTCCATGACATAAACCAATTGACCCATCAAAACCTTTCAAATTATATAATCTTTTTCGATTGTTCAACAGTTGAGCATGATATAAAACAGTAGACCCATTTCCCTTCACAAAGCTCTAATGAAACTAAAAGATTAGGGCATACATATGAGAGATGCGAAATTGAAGAAAGAGAGAGTCAGAATGGGAGAGAGAACAAAGATGAAAAATTGGGATTTATTCGCTGGGTTTGATGGGCAACTGTTCATTTTTCTGTTGAGTTGTTAAATTGATTGTTGATCGGTGATGAAGATGCAGCCTTACTTGTTCATCGCTATTGCTTGACCCTAGTTGAAGTTTTTCTCTAATATATATATATATTTTTTACTGTAATTGATGATTTTCAGCTTACTTATATGATTCACTAAAGAGTGTAGATCATGGAAGAGGGGAATTGTATTCATTTAATTATTGATGAGAGAATGGGATGGTGGGTGATATATATCTATATATATTTATTTATTTATTTATTTATGTATATTATGGTTGAAGAATGAATCAGACTCTAATAGTGAGAGAAAAAGACTTTAATGGTGAGAGAAAAGCGTAAGCCACAAGGTTGTTTCAAAGAATCTAACGTGGACTAAGTCACGAAGAAATTTTGGACTTATTCGAGAAAATCATTCGGTAACCTTATCATTTTCCTTATTTTAAATGTCAATCAATCATATATTGTTGTCATGGAAAACTTTTGTCACTGTAAAAAGCGAACAGTTGAATGTTTTACAGTAACTGTGGAGCCCCCTTACATAGTGTGTGTGTGTTTAGATATATATATAATATATTTGGATAAAGTGCAGAAAATACTCTTAAAGTATGTTTACAGTGCATATTACACTTTTTACGTGCAAAAAATACTCCTAAAGTTTCAATTTGGTGCAAATAAGTTTCTTTGACAAATTTAATCTCTAAGTTGACTAAATTACCTTTACTAAACTATTTTATAAAATATATAAAAATAACTAATTTTATAAAATAATCAAAAATGACACTATTGTAAGATGCCCATCTCATGGAAAAAAACACCCATAAAGTTTCAATCTGGTGCAAATAGATCCCTTTAACAAATTTAAACCCTAAGATAACTAAATTACCCTTACTGGACCATTTTATAAAATATATAAAAATAAATAATTTTATAAAATGACCGAAAATGATATCATTGGAGGACGTTGGCAATGGACAAGTAAAGATAAAAATATAAAATAAAAATAAAAGTATAAAAGAAAAGTAAAGATAAAAATACAAAATAAAAAACAAAAATAAAGTGGAAACTAAAGAAAACAAAATTTTTTCAAACTCCGAAAACCAGCGCACACTGATATTGGAATTTTTTTTTTTTTTTTTTTAATAGTGTTGGTACAAAAAATAAATAAATAAATAAATAATTTAGTTAAAAAGAGTAAATTGAAATCTCAAAAAATTCAAATCCTTATTCTACAAATTCTCAAAGTTTTTTTAAAACAAATGTTTACAGATATATATAGAGAAAAAAGTTATATATATATATATATATATATATATATATATATATATATATATATAAAGTAACGTGCATATAACATCCCTATACTGTGAGACTAGTAGCATATATATCCCCTTAGGCATTTTTGTAACGACCCAAATCCACTGGATTCGGATTATTAAACAGGTCCCTACCTGACCCAAAATCGTCCAAGGGTAATATGGTCCTTTCATGTTAAATTTGTATATTAAAGTCCAACAAGGACAAGATGGTCATTTGTCACAATTCTAATGATCTGATACTCGAAGGGCAAAATAGTCATTTACTTGTATCACATAATAAATAAGATAAAGTTCGGGGCAATATAGTCATTCCCATGGTTAAAATATAATTTTTTTGTATTTTACTGGACTTTATAATGTGTAACAATACACTTGAGTGAGTGGTCAAGGGCAAAATGGAAAAATAAGTCACAAATGTTTACTACACAGGAACCGCTCAAGGAACCGCTCAACGTGTATAGATCACATGTCAACTGGTTTGGGATGTGAATAGTGGAAAAGCCCACTGCCAGGATACTGGTCGACGTATGGAAGGCTACACGTCCACTAGTTAAAGACTTGTACAGTGGAAATGCTTACTGCCAAGATACCGGTCGACGTGTGGAAAATTCACGTCGACTGGTTCAGGTCATCCGGTCGACGTATGTGATTTTACGTCAACTGGTTGGGTTATCCTCACCCAAAATGCCACTATATGAAGGAAACCGAGATACACCAATTTTGATACACAACCACCCACACCACTACACTCACGTACCTATTTAAATACATTTCAACACCTAATACAATAACAAAAACCATATTGTTAACATAAATTACCACACGTTACTTAAATGCGCTAAAGAATTTAATGTGATTAAAACTTAATTACATTTCCATAATGGCCATATACAAAATGAACCTAAATACATCATGTTGCCCAAGTAATGACCCTAGAGAGGGGGAGGGGGGGTGAATAAGGTCATTGGCAAACTATGGAACTTTTTCGATTTAGCTACTCTAAGCTTCTTTTACTTGTCTCTTTAGTTTGGAGCCATATATGATTCTTTTTGATGAATGCTCTTCTAGTGAGCTATAGTGTCATAATGTGTAGAATGCAAAGTAATAATCTTACTACACTTGAGTGGTTGCTTTAACAAATGAATTCTTTTTAACTTCAATGCATTCAATTTCAATTAACCATTTAGAACTAGCATTTGCACAATATTGATATGAGTAATATTTAAGGTGCAAAAGTCACGAAACACATTATTATAGAGTTTAGAACAAATATATCAAACACTTGGTATGCTTATAAACTCTAAATGTGAAGGATGTGTTGAATATGCATTTTATCAAACACTTGGTATGCAACATAATTTTAGCTATATAAAAGGTTAATAGAAAACATATACTCTAAGCTAAAATCAATCAAACAATTAACCTACTCCAAGTATTCATCCCATCCTCCTCATATATTCAAATTAACATGTTCATCTCATAGCATTCATAAATAAAGTATTAAAATTATGAAATGGAAAATGTTAAGGAAATAAAGAGAGTAAGAGTTAGAGAAATTGCAAACCAAAGGACACGCGATGTACATGGTTCGGCACAACCTCGGCCTACGTCCATGCCTTGAGAAAACCTCTCAAGGATTCCACTATGGCTCCTCCTTACGGGTGGAGAGCAAACATTTACATGTTTTTGCTTGCGGGTGAAGAACCGACCTTGTAATGAAGCCATCTTGCTTCTCCTTCTTTTGATGGCTAAGAAGGAACCATTGCTCAATCTTGTGAGTGAAGAGCTCAACCAAATCCTCTCATTAGAGAGACACCTTCTTTCTTTTACGGGTTGGGAAAGAGAACCCTTACAATAGTTTAAACAAGCTTTCCCTTGCCAAGAGCACCTCTTGGTCTTCTTCTCTCAAGAATGGATATATAACGAAGCTCATAATGAATGTCTCTCAAATAGACAAATATACAAATCAAAGCTCTCATACTTAAAGTTACAAATGAAATAATCAAATGAAAGCTTAACTCTAAGTTTGCAAGATGAATCACATGAATGATATGCAATATATTTCAATGATGATTCCTTGTATGGACTACTAGAGCAAAAGCTCCACAAGGAGAATGAGGAACTAGAGCAAAAACTCTGTAGAAGTTCCTTTTAAAAGCCTCAACTCAAAACCAGAAAACCCCAACTCTATTTATAGACATTTGATATACAATATAGCTGTTGGGCACTCAGTTCTAGCTGAAATAGTCTTTTGAGTTTGAATTCGTGCTGGTTCGGTCGACCGAAATGAAACACCCTTGTGTTTCGGTCGTTCGAAATGGTTTTAAGCTTGGTTCATCGCTCTCAGTACTCTTGGCTCGGTAGACCGAAGTAACGCCTTCCTGTTTCGGTCAACCAAAATGGTTTCACCATTCTCAGCATCTTTGTTTCGGTAGACCGAAGTGATTTGGTGCTCTATTTCGGTAGACCGAAATAGAACTGATGCATCATCCTCAGTATCTCTGTTTCGGTAGACCGAAGTGAGTTGGTCTTGTATTTCGGTAGACCGAAATAGAACTGATGCTTCAGAAAATGTTATAAGTTAACAGATTAGACAGTGCTCTACAGGACATCTGCACAGACCTTATTTTCATTGAAAACATTTAAGTAAATGTCCATTTACTTTAAGTTTACAATGAAAATAAGGAAGTACCCCCCATTTGGATTCAATAAAAAATACTAGAAAATTGAAATCCAACTAAATCAAAATGTAGAAATTCAGTTTTAGTACAAATTTGGATTTCTAACTGTTTTGGTAAAAATGAATCCTTGTGTAGACCAATGTAGACTTGGTCAAAAATTCTGATAAAATCAGGTTAGGCTAGTTGAAGTATAAAGAGTTATTACCGGGAAAAATTATTTTGAAATAATCATCATTTCAAAAATCTATTTTTCACACTTAGCCAAAAACACAGTTTTTCATGACGCGCATTCTGGGGTCTTAATGTTCATTACCAACTCATGGTAATGAAGGCTTCTCATGCCTTAGTTGTTGACCAATATGAATTATATGATAAAGTACATGGTCTTACCATTTATAGCACAAGTGATGAGTTCTTTCAAAGCTTATGCAAGCTTGAACTAACTCACTCGTTAGCAAAGACTCCATGTGCAGTTATATATGAATGAAGTGCATAGTCTATTACTAATGGATATAGGAGCATATGAATGATGATATGATATGCATGGTCCTATAGAGATGAGTTTTCAAATGAAGTTACTTCAAAAATAACTTTACAATTTAAGTTAAACTCACCAAGCTATCTACCCCTTTTTTCAAGCTTTGTTCATGATCTTTTAGGCTTTGAGGTATTCTTGCTTTCTTCCTTTCTTTAAGTTGCATTCTTGATCATTGATGTCCAAGTTGTCTTTGGATGGACTTTACATTTGGTTCCTTGCAACTTCATGTCTTCTTTGTCTCCTTTGTTATCCATAGATGTGATCTTGAGTAATGGAATACTTGGAATGATCTTTCGTGCTCTTCATTGAGGTCATCTTTTGAATGTGAATAATCTATATAACACTTAATGTAAACATTAGTCCTTAAACATCATTAATGGTTTGTTATCATCAAAACCTCTAGATTGTCCTTGGATGGAATCCTTAAGGTCAACACATCACATATTGCAAAATAATACATTTTGAGTCAACATTATACAAAATTAAGCTCAAATACAAAAGATAGCAATAAGAGACATTTTCCTACTCCAAGCTAAGGCCGGGGTGGATTGTCATCCGCTACTTCTTTTCCGTATCCTGAAAAATGTTAGATAATAAAGGGGTGAGCATAAAGCTCAGTCGGAAGTATCTAAGACACGCTTCTTATGACCCTGTGAATCCACGTATAGAATAGAAAGCAACAGAACGGGATCATACTATACTGGGGATGCAAACCATAACCACAATATCCAGTGTAAACACAAATGTTATCCAAGTCACAAATATGCCATGTATGCCGATGAAATGCAATGCCATGCTCATGTCGCTCCCCATTTCCGAAACATTTGCGTTTCAACATCCAAACCGTTAGTGTAATCCGACCCAAGGCACCTCTAAGGCGTCACGAATGGAGGGTTGACTAACTATCCACGACCACAAGGCACCTCTAAGGCGTCACATCCGGCCTAGTTAGTTCAACCATACTCCCTTCTAGACTACACTAACAACACGGATCACTAGGCGCCTCCTAGGCGTCCGGTTTTCACAAACATCTTTCAAAGTCATTTCCCTAAAATAGTTTCATTTGCTTTCAAAACATTTTTCCTTTTTTTTCCTTTCCCAATGAATGCATGAATGCTCTATGCTTCTCATTATGAATTCAACCATGGAATTTCACACACACTTTGCAATCTAAATCTCTAAAATAGGTAATCATGTTTCCCTTCAACATATATACAACACATAAGTAATTTTGCAAGGATTCAAGTTAATTAAGCATATAAAACACAAATTCCATTTCACATAGGCATGTTTATACACATTATATCAATTTTCACATAAACACATCTTCCAAATGTAATATTTAAACAACTTGAAAGAACTTAGCTAATTAAGCATGCAATTTAACAATTTATAAAGAATTAACTCATAAAAGTATAAGAAATCATGTATTAGAACACCCTTACCTTAAATGAGGAAAAGCCCCAATTTGTGCCCTAGATCCCAAATCTCTTAGAATGCACCAAACTAGAAATCGCTTCGATCAACTTATAGATCTCGTCGTGAGCTTCAATTTGCCGCAAACGGCTTCCAAAATTTTCAAATATTGAAGGAGTAATCAAGAATTGCATCTTGAAGCCAAGAAAAAGAAAAAAACAGAAGAGTCTAGAATGGGAGAGAGAGACTTGCGGGAGTGAGAGAAGGAATAGAGAAAATGAGATCAAAATGTGGTCTCATAACCACTTAATAAAAATTATGTGGGTCTCACCAAAAGTATTTTATTTTTATTTTTCTTTTCTTTATCAATTTACACCACAAATACATACATATGCATCAACTATAAAATAGTTACATGTAACACATTAATTAAAATGATTATGATGCAAATGGATCCCACCAAAATCTCCGGATGTAAAAATTTCAGTAGCGGGTGTCCCACACGGGACCGTTCGGCCCGAAAAGCTAAAAATACAAAAATAATCACTCTAACATTTCAAAGAGTTATGAACTCAATGAAATACCCCAAACAACTCTCGGACACGACCGGCACACTTTGTAGTGTCCGGTACAAAAAACGACAAAAAGATGAAAATGATCTCGAAAAATCAGAAAACTCCAAAAATTGAAAAATGGTAAAAATTGGAATCACTACAATTTTAGGAAGAGTAAAAAGGTAAAACAGGTATTACAACACTAATTTATGTCATGAGGTATTTCTGCACAATGTGAAAAGATTAGGGGTGTTTTTTACATACTTTTTCAAATAGGGGGTAAAAGTGCTACGCAAAGTATACTATAAGGGTATTTTCTGCACTTGTCCCTATATATTTCTTAAAATTCAAGCAAATTAACACAATACGCCTGTTTTTCATGACGGTTTTCATTCTATGTTTAAGTTTTCATTCAAAATAAAAACAAAGATTTTGTTGTAAAATATGTTAACATTGATTTAAAGTATGTTTGGCAGCATATATAAAAATTGTTACAAAATTTTTAAAAACAAAAATATTAAAACATATTTAGTAAAAATGTATTATATGATAGAGAAACAAAATCGCTAATTAAAATACGCGATACTATTGAAGCGCAATAAAAAGCACTGAACGCGTTTCAATGATTTGCTTCAATATAGTCCCTGTTACAATGTTACTCAAAACTCAAAACGAAAATATTTGTCAAACAAGTCCTATATATATATATATATATTAAGGGGACTCGAATACTCAAGTACTTTTTCTAAGAGCATCTAGGCTAGAATAGATTCAATGACAAGGTTTACATATCTCAAACAATATATGAACATAACTTTATTAACTGCTAGGTTGGTATATATAATATATGAATATCACAGTAAAATATACTTTTTACATATCTTAATGAGTGGTGTATATACAATGTATGAACCCAACTGCATTCACTGCTAGGTTGGTATCCATGTGTGATAATAATGGATATCACATTGAAATGTACCCTTTTCACATCTTAATGGGTGGTGTATACAATATATGAACCGAACTGGACACGTACGTACCAACCTCAACCACCCTCTTGCACCCTTTTTATTATTATTTATTATTTAGGTCTTCTAATTAAAAGATATATTGAAGACACTAGACAAGAATATGACAGTGACTGAGCAAATATATATATATATATATATAATGTGAACATTATATATATTCTACCAGTCCAATTGAAACATTATCGTACAACAAAAGTCCTTATCCCCATTACTGTAACTAACATTCTTGGATAGAGAACTTCCAACAAATGGTCAGCGGATCATCAACCTTCTGCATTTTGATTTGATTCGATTTTTCATTCTTTAAATCCGAATTGCCTAATTCTATGTCTCTTACGTACTTTTGCTGCACACGGAAGCTCTATACTAGACAGTAGTAGTCACTTTCATTCATAAATATTAGTACTTTGGACAAGATACAACACACTTAAATTTGTTAATTTTTACTATTTTCGTCCCAAATTAAATATCATATTAGAGAAATTGTGACTCACAATTTGAACAAAATACAACACAGCAGGACATTTTTTTTTTGAAACAAATGAAGTATTTTTTTTTTCACTACTAAACCCAATTAAGAGACCAACTCACAATTTAGTTCTGCTACTTAAAATAGGTGGCTTTCACTTAATTAGCTCAATAATATCTATTCAAGAAAGATAGTATCCTCCCTTTGACCACAACAACCTTTTTGAGGGGGAAGTTCCTATGGTATAATATTATTATTTTTACTATAGTATTGGTCGGTTCTTAAAACACCTTATAATTTATCACTAAATATATATAATTTGTCATCCCACAAGCATGCACCAAATACACATTGAGAATTATTAATTTTTTTTTTTTTTGAGGGTGCTCGAGTTTTGTAAGGTCAATATTGAGAGTGCCTTTGTTTAAATTTTTTAAAAAACTTAAAATTAAATAACTACTTTTAATGTCAAAAACTTTATCAATTAGTTGTTCATGTTTGGTATTAGAGGTTTTTAATGTAACATGCAACAAGTGTATTGTTCTATTTTGAAATTATCAAATTATCTTTTTAAATTTAAGTATGTATATTACCATGAAATATATATATATATATATATATATTTGAAAACCCCTTAAAAGACAATAATAAAATGATCACTATTATTTTGCCTAATTTTTCAATTGGATAATTACTTTGAGAAATCCTATAAAATTTTATGGACTAGACAAATGCACAAATTAATACTCCCTCCGTCCCAAAATAAGTGTCATGCTTTCCTTTTTTGTCCGTCTCAAAATAAGTATCCACTTTCCTTTTTCAAACAATATGTTTCACATCATTCTTCTTTGAGTTTAAATTTCAAACTTCAATATTTAAAACTTAAAAGGGTAACATAGTAATTTTCCAGGCAGACAATACATAGTCCCTCATGTTCCCTTAAAAATTACTACTTCCCATAAGTGACACTTATATTGGGACGGAGGGAGTAATTCGTAATTATTCCCTCTATCTCTAAATAGAAGTTCATGTTTAGAAATTAGAGTTTTTAAAGGGACATGCAATTAATGCATTGTCCTCTTTTAAAATTATCAAATTGCCCTTTTTAATTTAAATATATATAGTTATAAATTTTGAAATTTTTTTTAAAAAATAAAAGACAATGATGAAAATATAATGAAAAAATACTTTGAGTTTTCAAAAAGGATAATTAATTTGAGGCACGTAAAAAAAAAAAAAAAAAAAAAAAAAAAAAATTACTAATATGGGATAAATAAATAAAGTCAGTCTATCCTCATTAATGTGGTGAGATTAAAGAGGAGAATCAAACGAACAAAAGTAGTCAGACAAATGGATGGATGTGATGATCGCAAGAATCCTTAGCAAACTTTGCTTCTCAATCCCCACTCCTAGTTACCAAACCTAGCTGTTTGGTGGACACTTACACGGCCAATGTTTCTTCTCCTCTCTCTCTCTCTCTAGCTCCTCCTCTCTCTCTCTCTCTCTCTCTCTCTCTCTCTCTCTCTCTCTCTATATATATATATATATAATACACGCACACTTGGTCTTTGCTTGGTAAGTTAGTTTACATTCGTGATGGCGGGAGTTAAACGTGATGAGGAACTAAATCAGAGCTTGTTATTACATAATTCACCATCAAACGGTCTAGTAGTTGACGATGATCAAGAGAAGAAAGACTTGAAAACAAGGGTGTGGATTGAATCAAAGAAGCTATGGCAAATAGTGGGTCCCTCCATCTTCAACAGGGTAGCCACCTATTCAATGAACATCGTCTCTGTAGCCGTCGCTGGCCACCTTGGTGAGCTTGAACTTGCTTCCTTTTCCATCGCCAACACCGTCATTGTCGGCTTCAATTTTGGCCTACTGGTACCTTTCTATTTCCTTCTCTTCAATATTAATATAAATAATTTTTAAAAAAAATTATTCTATGTATTTAAAAAAAAAAATTGCAAAACGACCATCTATCCATTTATAAAAAAAAAAACTTGCAAAACGACCATCTATCCATTTATAAAAATCACAGTTTCTTTAATACCTTAAAAAAAAAAATCATTCCCTTTCTTCAATCAAACCTTAATTTTTTTCTTCAAAGTTCTCTAATTTTTTTTTTTTTTTTTTTTTTTTGTCTTAAATTTTTTAATAAAAATTCTTACATCATATATGATGTATATGGAGTAGCTTTTTTCTCTCTTTCTAATTCTTTATTTTTTTGTCTTGTTCTTTAAATTTCACTCTATTATTATTTATTGTTAGATACCCAAATTAATTGCCTATTTAAAAAGTCCAAATAAAATAAATGCAATATTTCTATTATTGTCTTGCGTTTTCAAAACTTCAAATACCAAAATGACACACACACGGGATTATTTTTGTTTTTTTGTTTTTTTTTTGTTTTTATATGAAAAATGATATAGATACACTACACAACCTACTTGATATGCATATCTAAAAACGTATTTCTATTCTTTTGAAAAGTTGACAAGAGTCTTGATTTGGCTTGATGCAAAAAGTGTTTTCATTCTTTTGTAGCAGGACTCTATTTTTTTATTTTTTATTTTAAGAACAATGACATAGTATTTAAATTTTGATTACTGCACTTCTGTGTTTAAAAAAAATAAAATAAAAAATAAAACTTGATCATGTTCATTATGCCCCCTAAAATAAATTTTTGGCTTCCTCCAAGGGACGGAGGATACATTAAATTTTATGTATTGTTTTCTGAACTAACATTAATTATGGGCCTGTGTGAACCAGTTAGGAATGGCAAGTGCATTAGAAACACTGTGTGGGCAAGCTTTTGGGGCAAAAAGGTACCACATGTTGGGTATATATATGCAAAGGTCTTGGATTGTTCTCTTCTTGTGTTGTTTCTTGTTACTGCCACTCTACGCGTTCGCAACCCCTCTTCTGAAGCTGCTAGGGCAGACGGACGCGGTGGCCGAGCAGTCCGGGGAGGTGGCATTGTGGTTGATTCCATTGCACTTCAGTTTTGCATTTCTGTTCCCAATTCAGAGATTCTTGCAGAGCCAGATCAAGGCTAACATCCTGGCCTGGGTTTCGATGACGGTTTTCGTGCTTCATGTGATCGTCAGCTGGCTCGTTGTGTATCAGTTTGGGTTTGGGATTGTGGGGGTGGCTGTGACATTGGATATTGCCTGGTGGCTCTTGTTCTTTGGGCTGTTGGCGTACACTCTGCTTGGTGGGTGTCCTCAAACTTGGACTGGTTTCTCAATGCAAGCCTTTTCTGGCCTATGGGAGTTTGTCAAACTCTCTACTGCCTCCGGTGTCATGCTTTGGTATGTACTAGGTTCTCTCTAACCATCTATACATATATGGAAAATCTCTATAAACACATAAAACCCATAATTTAGATGATGAGACTGTACACAGGGGAGGGTAGACATTGCCCACCCACTAAAGGTGAGACCACTTTGTCAGTGAGGACCATATGGTGTAATCTCCATCCTTACTTTGTGCATAGTATTGTATAAAGTTGAGTGCTTTACGACATATGATATGAGTTCCATTATATATATGAGGGTAAAATGGGATGAGGGTAAAACTGAGTGATTTAAGTTTATACAGGTTCCATTTCAATAAATCAATTCTCATATACAACCATGATGCACGCATTGACTTGTTGTTAGTGAAAAAACAAACTTACAATTAATTAAAGTGAGACCATGTCAATATCAAAGAATTGGTTGTACATGTAATTATACGATTGTTTTAAAGAATTGAATTTAATTTGACGTTATTATTGCAGCTTGGAGAATTGGTACTACCGAATATTGATTTTAATAACTGGGTACCTACCGGATGCCACACTTGCTGTGGACTCATTATCCGTCTGGTAATATTATATTTTCTTTAATATATTTCACTGCCATTTCTGTGGTAGTATTAGACAAAAAATACATATATAATTTTAAAATATTATTTTAACTTTGTTTACGTGTTTTAATATAATTTGGCAGCATGAATATTAATGGGTGGGAAATGATGATTCCTCTTGCTTTCTTTGCTGCAACCGGGTACTGTTCTTTTATCTTTTTATTATTTATCTTACTATTTCCTTTGTGAAATTTTTATGTTGATGTCTGCAATTTATCTTTCACTCTACAGACCCCCAAAATAATAATAATAATAATAATTTGGTCTCCATTGGCAATATTTAGGGCTTTGTCCCAACTAATTCTTGAATCATCGTACAAAGCGTCCCTCTACACGAATAAGATAAAATTTGGATTTTCACCCGTATGAGTGACCCCAAGATATTGTTTACGCTGAAGGCGGATCAAACCTTAATCCTATGTTTCATGAAGTACAAAGTCCAAGTGAGATTAATTTGCATTGCTATGAATCAAAATAAAAGGAACCTTAACTTAATCTCTTTTAGGTCATACCTTTGAAAATTTACAAAATCAAAATATAATACGTTCCCTCCTCATTTTTTTTCAATTAATGACCATGAAGTACGTTCTTCTTGGTTAATTGATCATTTTATCTTAAATTTTCTGTAACGTTAAAAATCTATATTAAGAAACTTGGTATAAATATAAATATATATACATTCATGTGTTTTGCATGGGAACGCAGCTAACTTTGGGATATTTTCATTGTTAAGAATGGTAGGTACACTATTGTATATAAAGTTAATTCTTGGTTAGTGCTTTCTCGAATGACTTTAAGACAAGCACGTAAATGTATTAACCACCATTCAGTGGACCATTCTTATCCACATTGTTGATGAATTAATTGGAGATCTTTTTAAAATTTTGGAGCCACTAAATTAAAATATTTTTCTTTAAAACAAGTTGTTAGAAAATGTAAAAATTACAACAAGTATATCATTATAACAGACTCTCGATCTTATGTAAATTTGGTGTTATTTGATATACTAATTCAGCGTTTACTTTTGAATTGATTTAGTGTTTATTTCTTTAATAACACAATCAATGGCGTCGAAAATGAGTTAAAATTTTAATTGACATTGATTTCACTTATCATAAACGTTTATTCAAAAAATATTTAAAACATTCAGTATTTTACAAATACCTCACTTAAAATTCACACACAATATGTATTTATATCATCAACATGTAGCACACTCATGCCAACTTAAAAAAAAAAAAAAAAGCAACCCTGTCTTAACGAAGCACTTGGTTAAAATAAATTTTATTTTAATCCGACAGTAAAGATGTGCTAATAGAATTTCATAGGGTTAACTTAGTTGGAAAAGACTTGTGTCATGGTGCCTCACGAAACATCAAGTCTCATGATCGATTCCTCCTAAGTGCAAACAATTCCTTAAGCGTCATGCTCACGGATATAATCCGAGTTTTACTCAATCCTTGTGGGGGTGGATTAGTAGGGATAAAGCCCTAAACACCCCGATTATAAATAATAATAATAAAAAAGTATTAACACAATGGTACTCAAACCAGTTTTGTGAATTAAGTATGCGTTGTTCAGATACTAACTTTTTTTAATTCTTGCCTTGTCGAGGGAACTTGGTATAAATTTGACATTTTTGTCTTATTGTTGCATATCTAAAATCTATTGTTTTGTGCACAATTTGCAGAGTAAGGGTGGCCAATGAACTAGGTGCGGGGAATGGAAAGGGAGCTAAATTTGCAACAAAGGTCTCGGTGGTGAACTCCACAGTTGTCGGCATCTTCTTTTGTGCTCTAATTATGATATTGCATGACAAAATCGGGTACATCTTCACGTCGAGTACCGATGTTCTTGAAGCAGTCGACGAGCTCTCTTACCTCTTAGCCTTCACTATTCTCCTCAACAGTGTTCAACCAATTCTTTCAGGTGATCAATTCGACAATTCCTAATTTGGTGATTGAAAAATGTATAGCATTTAACATTTTGATACAAATTATTAGACTAGTTTGCCAACTGTTACAGGGGTGGCCGTGGGATCCGGATGGCAGGCATGGGTTGCATACATAAATCTGGGTTGCTACTACCTTATTGGGGTTCCTCTTGGTTGTGTTATGGGGTGGGTTTTCGACTTTGGTGTTCAGGTAAGTTCGGTTCTTGCTAGGAAGAGCATTGCACTGGTCATTTTCGGAAGTACTAAATTGGCTCATTGAAATTGGCATTAAAAGGAAATTTACTTCAAACTTTGAAATAAATTTTCTCCGGCCAACTCCAATTTCAAAATGTTGATTCAACTTTTTAAAATTTTTTTTTTTTAAGTGTTTATAATTTTTTGCAATCAGGGTATTTGGGGTGGGATGATATTTGGCGGAACTGCTGTGCAAACAATAATATTGGCCATCATAACAATACGGTGTGATTGGGAAAAAGAGGTACAAATTAACAAAAATTTCACTTTTATGACCTTTGTTCAAAGTCATATATGCTAATATGAACTATGTAATTCTTCTAAAATGGTGGATTTGCAGGCGGATAAAGCTACCAAGCATGTCCAAAAGTGGTCGACTCCTGATCCAGATAATCAATCATAAGCAAAATGTACTCGGGTCTACCACATTTTGAAGTGTCTCTTTTTTCATTATATTATAATATATTACAGGTTTTTTTTTTTTTTTTCGGTTAACATTGATTTCTAAAGGTTTTTATCTGTTCTCATGTTATTGGAAAATAAAAAATAGTTCATAATTTTGATTGATTATAGTTTTTTTTTTCTTTTTTTCTTTTTTGAAATTGAGATTATATATATAAGTTTCACATTCGGTTATTTGTTTTGAAATTATGTCAAAATTATTAAAATCAAAATAAAATTTTTTTTTCTTTCAAGTTTTTGATTCTACATAATGGCATATCTATTTGAGAATGATTTTGTGGGCATTCTTAATTAGCTTGTGTGCGCACAACACAAGTATTTCCTATGCACTCATATTAGCTACCCTTTTGTAATATTATAACTTTTTAATTATATTGTTTCTTTTTAATATTAAATCATTGTGACTTTAAATTTAAATGTGCATGTTACCAAATTGGATTTTTTTTGAAAACTCAAACGATAATTATAAAATACATATATATATATATATATTGCATTCATTAATTCCAAATTGGCAAGTGCGTTGGAGACTCTATGTGGGCAGGCAGTTGGGGCCAAGAGGTACCACATGTTGGGAGTATATATGCAGAGATCATGGATTGTTCTATTCTTGTGTTCGTTCTTGTTATTGCCCCTATACGTATACGCAATCCCAATACTGAAGCTCATGGGACAGCCTGATAAAGTGGCGGAGCAATCGGGGATGCTGGCGCTTTGGTTCATTCCAATGCACTTCAGCTTTGTATTTCAATGCTCACTACAGAGGTTCTTGCAGAGCCAGCTTAAGACAGCGGTCCTAGCATGGGCCTCCTTGGCGGCTCTTGTGGTTCATGTGACTATCAGTTGGCTTTTTGTATATCAGTTTAAGCTTGGGTTGGTTGGAACAGCTGTTGCTTTGGATGTGTCTTGGTGGGTTTTCGTTCTTGGCCTTTTGGGGTATACAGTGTGGGGTGGGTGTCCCCAAACTTGGACTGGTTTTTCCATGCAAGCCTTCTCTGGCCTATGGGAATTTTTCAAGCTCTCTACTGCGCCGGGAGTCATGCTTTGGTATTTCCCTTTCTCTTTATATAGGAAAATCTTTTAGATTTCGTTATTCAAACAACTCCGACTGATTTGATGTAAGTTGAGGGCGTATCACAACTAATCAGTCGGAGTTGTCCGACTTTCGGACCCCTTATCATCACTCATATATGTGTGCCCCTGCCTTTGTGTATAATGTTTATGCAGCTTGGAGAATTGGTACGATAGAATATTGATATTGATGACTTGAAGAATGCTACAATAACTGTGGATGCATTATCTGTGTGGTATGTGAATTTCTTATGATTAATACCATCAGGTACTAATCAGTTGGTGTGATTGACTATGATGTGGCAGTATGGCGATTAATGGCTGGAAAATGATGATTCCTCTTTCCTTCTTTGCTGCAGCCGGGTATTGTTATTTGACCCTCTCTTGTTATGATATTGTAACTGGTTTATTCACAATTATTAGCCATATGCATGTTAATGAAGCCAGCTTAGCATAAATGGTGTTTTAAGTTCACGAAGAACATTTAACTTTTTTTATTAAACCCTAAAATATGACATCTTTTTTCTTCCCTTCCGGCATGCTGTGGTTCCCCGGCAAATGGTAGTAATGCACAATCAGGTGCAGGATGCGACTCTATGGACTACCAATATTAAAGGGATAGTATTCATTTTTCCTAAGGTTTAACATGACTTGAAAAAACCAGAAAAGAAAAACAGGGAACTTTAAAGGTCCTAATCCAAGAAATTTTTTTTTTTTAGTTTCAGTGACTAATTTGGATTTGGTGGAAAATTTCCGTCTAAATTTGTATGAATTTTTCTCATAATAAAAGGAATTTCTAATATATAGAAAAAACAAAGATCCCACAAATTCAGCCCTGGCCTCTGCATAAACATGTATTAAAGCATGTATAAAATTATGGCGAAGGTGCCTTTATGTGAAATCATTGGTCACATTTGTTGCTTTAAAGCAGCCTAATCATTTAATAATTATCTTTAATTTTGGTCACTAAATTACAAAGTCTCTACTTCATAAGTTTGTTTGATATTGTCGTCATGGCTTTTGTTGAGGTCACGACTCTTCATCAACCAGGACCGGCCATTAATTAAGCTTGTCCGAAATTATTATAGTGTACTTTTTAAAGGTTTAATATATATACTCCTTTTAGGAAAAGATACTCAAAAAATTTCTCCATAAAATTGTGGTGAATATAGAAAACTTTAAGCAACACTACAATATTGTTAAATAAAAATTCAATTAATTTAAGCTTTTATAGTATTGCACTCCTTCCCTCGTATAATATTGCATATTAATGGATGAGTTGTTTTAGCAATTTTGCCATTCGTTTCAAAAATGTATTTATAACTTGTTGAATGCATCAAAATTCTTTGTTTCATCGCTTCGTTTGTCACATTTTTCTGGGTGATTCACACTCCCATGTACCAAGCCATAGTTTCCTGAATTTATTATGAAAATATTTACAGAGTAAGGGTTGCCAACGAGCTACGTGCAAGGAACGGAAAGGGAGCAAAATTTGCAACAAAAGTGGTCGTGGCACAGTCCACAATAATCGGTGTCTTCTTTTGTGCACTTATAATGATTTTCCATGACAAGATTGCATTGATCCTCTCATAGAGCAGCGACGTCCTCAGAGCAGTTGATAAGCTTGCATACCTCTTAGCTATCACAATTCTTCTCAACACCAAAGTGACAGTAAATTGGTTATGTGAATGTCCTAGTAGGTGTGGACCTAAGAGCTCAAAGGACCATGGTCTGAAACCACAAGGAACACCGGGCCTTGTGGTTTGGGGACTAAACTTCATGTTTTTCACCACAAAAATTGTTTACAAAACTAGTATTCTAACCTTTTCCATTATAATTTTCTACCTTCTTTGTTGCTTCCCTTCGAGCACGAAAAATTATTGGAACATTTTTACCATTCGGAGCCTTGGATTGATATCTACAGTTAGGTTGCACTATTGTCATGATTAGATGGGTTGGCACTGAACAAATATTGTCACGCCCCAAAATCCTAAATACATGAACTCTTGTCTCGTATTAAGATTTGGTATGACTTTTTTTACACAACCATAACCTTACAATAAAAATAATTAAATAAAAAAGTAGATGTAAACTACCCTCTAATTTATTAAATCCATACAACCATAATATCAAACAATCTTGTCAAAAATAATCCATGATAATTGGACAAAATGAACTAACTCTCAAAAAAAAATATCGTCATTCTTATTACAATGCGAAAATTGAACTAAACCAAGAAATGCGACAAACAAGCCAAAATCCATCACCATCATGTAATCCCATCACGTTCCTACTCAACGTGCACCTGAAATGTGATAATGGGGTGAGCTCACAAGCTCAGCAATAAATGCTAAACACAATCATCGTTCAGCAAATTAATCTTACCTTATATTCCTGTATATATAAGCAACTCAAATAAGTTCATTATTCAAATGTGTATAACCCAGTTAATTATAAACTTAATAAATAACCATCTTTTATTTTTTAATAAATCGGCATATCTCACATGAGCCCCGGGCTCCCGTCCAATAAAATGGTGTGAATCGTATAGTCCCTGACTACCAAAAACACACTTGTGGCTGGATTGTACGTCTACTCCCCAGATGATCCCTTATCACGTCCACACAATAAGGGCTCATTAGACCCATGGCCATAATAAATGGGGTAGTGCACTCCCAAATAGGTAGGTCCCTGACCATACCCAAGAGTCATCATAGGGTCAGTCCCTGACTGCCCTCCGGCTAATCCAAACTCATCATTATTAATTATAGTGAATTATGAAAGATATCATTAATTAATAATTCAAATTAATAGGTAATGCACCCAAATATCATTTTAATTTGAAACCGGAACCCTAAAGATCCAACTAGTGAGAGTACAAAATTTCTGGACATAGCCTAACATTAGGTAAAATACCCTGCAAAATTTCAGAATTTATATCCTAATAGTTTTTCCGTACTCTCCCTTTTAGTGTTGAGAAATAATATTTTTTTTAGGTTTAATTTGGTAAACTTACCCAATAACATTTAAAATATGGATTTTAAACAAAACTAGATTCATTATGCAAAAATATAATATTCTGGAAAATATAATAATTTTTGAAATGTTTAAAATATTTTTCCTTAATTATTCTAAGTTAAAACTAATAAGAAAAAAGAATTTTAAAAGAAATACTTCTAATTCAGTTGGGCCCGAATGTAGCTTCCCAGATTGGGCCTAGTGTTGACTAACATTAAATTCAACATGGGCTTGACTCTTCCTCACATACCAAGCCCTACAATGACAATGTAGTAACCCAAAAATTGAATTCTTCCTTCCCAATTAAGTAAACCCATATCTAATCAAAACCACTATTTCATTCCAACATCTAATTGACCCAACATTCTATATTAACATTAATTAAGTTCATGACTATTGATTCTGTTTACAGAGTAGAATTATATTCCTTCAAAAATTCTATTCATTCAATGCATGTAGAATTTTGTCAATAACAGGTCCCTTCTTTCTTCCTTATCAGGTTTTCATTTATATATATATATATATATATATATATATATATATATTACATACTATACACATATGCATGCCTATCACCCATAATGAATTAAACGACAATATTGCCACATTGATTCCATACTCAAACATAAACAGAACAACAATCAACGTTTAAATATTCTAAAAATTTAATTTTCTAAATTCTGTTAATTCATTAATTACGCATGAAACTGCCAATCTATTTTCAACTAACATCTCATTAAAATGCTATTTGTCTTTAACATCACATATAGTGATTAATCAGCACAGTTAACAAAGAAAGTTACAAATATATATAAGTGTCCAAAGCAAGATTAACTTGCCTGGTATAACTAATTCTTCCTTCCTACGCGACTTCCCGATTACCGTTCTTTCCCCGGCTACTGCAGGAAAACACGACGTCAAATCACTCTCTCTGGTCCCTTCTTCTCCCGTTATCGTGCTAGTATCTCTTTTTTATATATATATAAATAAAATGTATTAGAGAGTTATAGAGATATAGGGAGTCTGGTGAGATAAATTAGTTTTTTTTTTTTAAATTTAAATTATTTAACAAACTTTATCACAATCACCCGTTTAAATTAAATCAGAGATAACCATTAAATTATATTAAGTAAATAAATATATGATATAAATATGTATTTTACACGGGTCTTACATTCTACCCTCCTAGAAAGAAATTTCGTCCTCGAAATTTGCGTACCTTATTCGAATAGATGTGGGTACTTTCCCTTCATTTCTGACTCTAGCTCCCAAGTAGCCTCTCTCTCATCCTAATGATTCCTCTGTACCTTCACCAGAGGTATCTCTGTCCACCTCAACTGTTTCACCATATTGTCAACAATGCGAACAGGCGTCTCAACATAGGTCGTATTAGGGCAAATCTGGACCTCTGTGCAGTCAATGACCTGAGTTTCATCCCTCAAGCACCTCCTCAACATAGAGACATGGAAAACATCGTGAACAGCTGATAGTCTAGGTGGTAGAGCCAATCTATATGCCACCACTCCAACCCTCTCTGTGATCTCAAAAGGTCCAATGAATCGAGGAGCTAACTTCCCTTTCTTCCTACCAAATCTCGTAACCCCCTTCATTGGTGATACTTTCAAGAACACCAAGTCACCTACACTAAACTCCAAAGCACGACGACGTCGGTCTGCATAACTCTTTTGTCGACTCTGAGCTGTGCGAAGTCGATTTCGAATGATGGCAACCTTCTCCGTAGTCTCTTGCACCAACTCTGGCCCCAAAAGACTACCATCACCAACCTCAGCCCAACATACAGGTGAACGACAAGGTCTACCATAAAGTGCCTCATATGGTGCCATGCCGATACTAGCCTGATAGCTATTATTATAAACGAACTCAACCAATGGAATGTGATCCTCCCAACTGCCCCGAAAATCTAGCACACAAGCACGAAGCATATCCTCCAACACCTGAATGACCCTCTCGGACTGGCCATCGGTCTGAGGATGAAAAGCAGTACTTAAACTCAAAGGAGTACCAAAAGCTGCTTGGAAACTACTCCAAAATCGAGATGAAAAACGAGGATCACGATCTAAGACAATAGACACCGGCACTCCATGAAGCTTAACTATGTCTCTAATGTAGATCTTACACAATTCCTTTACAATATCAGTAGCTCGAATAGGTAGAAAATGAGCTGATTTAGTCAATCGGTCCACTATCACCCACACTGTATCATGGTTATGTATCGACCTCGGTAACCCCACAACAAAATCCATCGTCACATGCTCCCATTTCCACTCAAGCACAGGCAAAGGCTGTAATAGTCCTGCTGGTCTCTGGTGCTCAGCCTTCACTTGCTGACAAGTGAGACATCTAGATACAAACTCTGCCACATCACGTTTCATGCCTTCCCACCAGAACTGCCTCTTAAGATCATGATATATCTTAGTGCCACCTGGGTGCACTGTGTACCTAGAGTGATGTGCCTCCTCTAAAATCTCTCTCTTGAGGTCTGCTAAGTCTGGAACACATAGCCTACCTCGAAATCTCATACCACCATCAGCTCCATACGTCCAGTCAACATTACCTTCATCATTAACAGCCTCAACTGCTTTGGTCTGTAACCTGTCATCCTGAGTCTGAGAATGAATGATCCGGCTGATCAAAGTAAGTTATACAGTCAAACTACAAAGAAGAGCCCCTGTACTCTAAGAACTCGACATGATAGAAAACTCTGCCAATGCCTCTAACATCATCCACTCCTTAATCATCATAAAGGCAACTAATCCTCTCGGTTTTCGACTCAAGGCATCCGCTACCACATTAGCCTTTCCAGGATGATATTGAAGGGTCATATCAAAATCCTTCATCTTCTCCATCCACCCCCGTTGCCTCATATTCAACTCCTTTTGAGTGTAAAGGTATTTGAGGCTCTTGTGATCAGAGAATAACTCAAATTCCTCGCCATACAAGTAATGCCTCCACACCTTCAATGCAAGAACCACTGTTGCCAATTCCAGGTCATGTGTAGGGTAATTTTGCTCATGTGGCTTAAGCTGCCTAGAGGCATACGCTACCACCTTATCATCTTGCATCAATACACAGCCAAGACCCGGATGTGATGCATCTGTGTAGATCACAAATCTCTCACCACTAGCAAGAATGGTAAGAACTGGTGCTGATGTCAATCTCGTCTTCAGCTCCTCAAACGCCTGCTCACAGCGGTGGTCCCAAACAAACTTCACATCCTTCCGAGTCAACCGGGTCAAAGGTGCAGCAATCTTGGAGAAACCCTCAATAAAGCGCCTGTAGTATCCTGCCAGTCCTAAGAAGCTACGAATCTCAGTGACAGTAGTAGGCCGTTTCCAACTCATCACAGCCTCCACCTTGGCAGAATCTACTGAAACTCCATCCTTAGAGATCACATGCCCCAAAAACTGAATCTGTTCCTACCAAAAGTCACACTTCTCAAACTTAGCATAGAGCTGATGCTCACGCAAAGTCTGAAGTGTAATGCTCAAGTGTCTCTTATGCTCCTCCTTAGTCTTGGAATATATCAGAATGTCATCAACAAATACTACAACAAACTGATCCAAGTAAGGTCGAAACACTCGGTTCATCAAATCCATAAAAGTTGCCGGAGCGTTAGTCAACCCAAAAGGCATGACTAAAAACTCATAGAGGCCATAACGAGTCCTGAAGGCAGTCTTAGGAATATCCTCCTCCTTAATCCTCAGTTGATGGTATCCAGTCCTCAAGTCAATCTTAGAAAACAACTGCGCCCCTCTAAGTTGATCAAACAAATCATTAATGCGTGACAATGGGTACTTATTCTTAATAGTGACCTTATTCAGCGCACGGTAGTCAACACATAAGCGGAGTGACCCATCTTTCTTCTAAACAAATAAAACAGGTGCTCCCCAAGGTGATGTGCTAGGTCGAATAAACCCCCGATCTTGCAACTCTTGAGTCTGTTTCTTCAACTCACTCAATTCAACTGGCACCATTCTGTAGGGTGCCCTAGAGATAGGTGAAATACCAGGAGTGAGATCGATGCAGAAATCCACTGCCCTCTTAGGAGGCAAACCCGGAATATCCCGAAACACATCTGCATACTCTGACACTGTAGGCAACTGCTCTATAGTCACGCATTGCTCAACCACCTCGATGTGGGCCAGAAATCCCATAGTCATGGTGCCCTCAAACTCCCCACACTTATATCGAGAAGGTAACTGTCCCGGAACTGAGAATACAATAATCCTCTCATGGCAGTCCAACTGAGCATGATATCTAGCCAACTAATCCATACCCAGTATAGCATCAAATTCTCTCATACGTAATACTATTAAATCAATAGGATACTCCAACTCCCCAATTGTAACAGGGCAAGCACGACATATTCTATCAAGTGTCGTCGCGCTCCCGAGTGGAGTTGTAATAGATAAGGCATTACTTATATGTCCAGGTTCTAATCCCAGTGTATCCACAAATGATAGTGCAATAAAAGAATATGAAGAACCTGAATCAAATAGTACTCTAGTTATACTGCCATAAATAGTAAGTGTACCTTCCACTGTTGGTGGTGCACGATTCTGTCTCCCATCTGGAACAACTGCATAAACCCTTGCACTTCCTTGTTGCTGTGGTGCCTGACCTTTCTGCTGGTTATTCTTGTGAGGCTTGGGACAATTATGAGCCAAATGTCCTTGCTCACGACAATTGTAGCAATGCCCGCTGAACTGATATGGCTGTGCATCATGAGGTGTGGCTGGTACTAAAGCTGTGGATTGCTCACCTTCACTAACTCTCTACCGTTTCCCTGCTCGCCAATCTTGTCTACCTCTCTGTCAAGACTGACCCTGCCAGTTTCTCTGAGTCTACTGCTGTTGACCCCTCTGATTTTGTTGAAAGCTGCTCTGATTCTGTTGAGAGCTGCTAGCCCCCTTACTTTTCTGCTCTGCCCTACGCTCCTTCTGTTTCTGAAAGGCAATGTTATTATTCTCCTCTACTGCCATAGCACAATCCACCACTCTAGCATTAGTGTCAAAACGATGACCCACCACAAACTTCTTCACATAAGAGACCAATCCTCGCTCAAACTTTCTAACCTTGTGTAACTCATTCGCAACAATGTGAGGAGCGAATCGAGATAGCTCTGTAAACTTCCTCTCGTACTCACTAACTGACATCTCATTATTCTGTTCCAGCTGCGTGAACTCTGCTGCCTTCTTCTCCTTCACTGATTGTGGAAAGTGTTTGTCATTGAACCGAGTTTTAAAATCATCCCAGGTCATAGTTGTAATGTCCACAACCATCCTGGTCTCTGACTGCCACCACTGGCGCGCCTCACCAGATAAAAGAAATGCACCAATCTTCCTTTTCTGCACCTCAGTGCAGTCCATCATCTCAAAATACTTTTCCATATCTTCAATCCATTTCTCAGCATCAAGTGGATCGGTAGCTCTAGCAAATTCAACAGCCCCCAATTTGCGGATATCTCTGATAAATCCAATCATAGGATTCGGCACATGAGGTGTATCCTCCAACTGAACATCGTCATGGTTAACACCACCATGACCAACACCTCCCTGACCTCTGCCTCTAGCAGGTCGTCCTCTGCCTCTTCCAGCTCCTGACATCCTATTTTCAGTAAAGAATGTCAATGATAAGTCTCATAAGTAATTTAAACTTAAACTGGAGCATGGTAAGAGAGTAATAATTCGTATAAGTATATGCTCCTATTCTTACTATCACTTTTCTTAGCCAGGTAATTCTTAACCTAGGCTCTGATACCATTTGTAACGACCCACTCCACCACATGGTATGATATTGTCCGCTTTGGGCCTGAGCTCGCACGGTTTTGCTCTTGGGCTTCACCCCAAAAGGCCTCATACCAATTGGAGATGACACACTTACATATAAGCACTTCACCTTTCCTCTACCCAGGCGATGTGGGACTGTGCACCCGTAGCTCGCTAGTGTGGTAGCCTGACAGTATCTCTCGCACCCGCACACGGCACACCCGCCTACAGGGTCATCACAATCCACCCCCCTTTGAGGCCCGACGTCCCCGTCGGCACACTTCCGGCTGGGTCAGGCTCTGATACCAAACTATTACGCCCCAAAATCCTAAATACATGAACTCTTGTCTCGTATTAAGATTTGGCATGACTTTTTTTACACAAGCACAACCTTACAATAAAAATAATTAAATAAAGAAGTAGATGTAAACCACCCTCTAATTTATTAAATCGATACAACCATAATATCAAGCAACCTTGTCAAAAATAATCCATGATAATTGGACAAAATGAACTAACTCTCAAAAAAAAATATCGTCATTCTTATTACAATGCGAAAATTGAACTAAACCAAGGAATGCGACAAACAAGCCAAAATCCATCACCATCATGTAATCCCATTACGTTCCTACTCAACGTGCACCTGAAATGTGATAATGGGGTGAGCTCACAAGCTCATCAATAAATGCTAAACACAATCATCGTTCAGCAAATTAACCTTACCTTATATTCCTGTATATATAAGCAACTCAAATAAGTTCATTATTCAAATGTGTATAACCCAGTTAATTATAAACTTAATAAATAACCATCTTTTATTTTTTAATAAATCGGCATATCTCACATGAGCCCCGGGCTCCCGTCCAATAAAATGGTGTGAATCGTATAGTCCCTGACTACCAAAAACACGCGTGTGGCTGGATTGTACGTCTACTCCCCAGATGATCCCTGATCACGTCCACACAATAAGGGCTCATTAGACCCATGGCCATAATAAATGGGGTAGTGCACTCCCAAATAGGTAGGTCCCTGACCATACCCAAGAGTCATCATAGGGTCAGTCCCTGACTGCCCTCCGACTAATCCAAACTCATCATTATTAATTATAGTGAATTATGAAAGATATTATTAATTAATAATTCAAATTAATAGTTAATGCACCCAAATATCATTTTAATTTGAAACCGGAACCCTAAAGATCCAACTAGTGAGAGTACAAAATTTCTGGACATAGCCTAACATTAGGTAAAATACCCTGCAAAATTTCAGAATTTATATCCTAATAGTTTTTCCGTACTCTCCCTTTTAGTGTTGAGAAATAATATTTTTTTTAGGTTTAATTTGGTAAACTTACCCAATAACATTTAAAATATGGATTTTAAACAAAACTAGATTCATTATGCAAAAATATAATATTCTGGAAAATATAATAATTTTTGAAATGTTTAAAATATTTTTCCTTAATTATTCTAAGTTAAAACTAATAAGAAAAAAGAATTTTAAAAGAAATACTTCTAATTCAGTTGGGCCCGAATGTAGCTTCCCAGATTGGGCCTAGTGTTGACTAACATTAAATTCAACATGGGCTTGACTCTTCCTCACATACCAAGCCCTACAATGACAATGTAGTAACCCAAAAATTGAATTCTTCCTTCCCAATTAAGTAAACCCATTTCTAATCAAAACCACTATTTCATTCCAACATCTAATTGACCCAACATTCTATATTAACATTAATTAAGTTCATGACTATTGATTCTGTTTACAGAGTAGAATTATATTCCTTCAAAAATTCTATTCATTCAATGCATGTAGAATTTTGTCAATAACAGGTCCCTTCTTTCTTCCTTATCAGGTTTTCATTTATATATATATATATATATATATATATATATATATATATATATTACATACTATACACATATGCATGCCTATCACCCATAATGAATTAAACGACAATATTGCCACATTGATTCCATACTCAAACATAAACAGAACAACAATCAACGTTTAAATATTCTAAAAATTTAATTTTCTAAGTTCTTCATTAATTACGCATGAAACTGCCAATCTATTTTCAACTAACATCTCATTAAAATGCTATTTGTCTTTAACATCACATATAGTGATTAATCAGCACAGTTAACAAAGAAAGTTACAAATATATATAAGTGTACAAAGCAAGATTAACTTGCCTGGTATAACTAATTCTTCCTTCCTACGCGACTTCCCGATTACCGTTCCTTTCCCTGGCTACTGCAGGAAAACACGACGTCAAATCACTCTCTTTGGTCCCTTCTTCTCCCGTTATCGTGCTAGTATCTTTATTTTTTTATATATATAAATAAAACGTATTAGAGAGTTATAGAGATATAGGGAGTCTGGTGAGATAAATTAGTTTTTTTTTTTAAAATTTAAATTATTTAACAAACTTTATCACAATCACCCATTTAAATTAAATCAGAGATAACCATTAAATTATATTAAGTAAATAAATATATGATATAAATATATATATGTATTTTACACGGGTCTTACAAATATATTATCAATTTAAAGAAAAAAGGAAAACTGTTACTAAATATTGCATTCATTAATTAGCCATGAACGGATACATGACTTGCTTGCATGGCTAATAGTTATGTTGGTCACGAAGAAACTATGAATATCATGGAATTATTGTGAAGTTTTTCATTATATGTGTTTTACTTATTACTATGTTTAATCTCAGTTACATTTTAAAAAATTTAGTGAGATTTGTTTTTTCTCATATTCATTTGAACAGATGTATGAATATTGAGATATTGGAGGAAGCTAAATAATTCTGAAAAAAGGAAATTAGTTATGCAAGTTAACAAAGCATGAGATTTGATCGATTACAAGATGATGTAATCTATGCTAACTATTTAGTTAAATATCATAAAACATATATGATATATCATAACCTATTCAATTTGTAGAGATTCTACATTCTTCCTGCTAATTTGTTCTCCATTACTTCTGCTAATGTATCTACACAAACTATAGGATTTCTAGAAAAAAGTTTTTAATGGAAGCCATTAACAACAACTTTGTGGTAATCATCCAGACTCCGAAGGGTAAAAATGTCCAAAAAATATTTATTTATTTATTTTATTATTATTACTTTTTTAATGTGAACTAGTCCAATCAAAATTTTAGGTAGACTCAATCTTTTTAATGAAATATTATAAATATTTGAACATGGCTCCTACATAAAATGATGCATTAGGTTGACTATTAGATGAAAAGGATGGAAACCACCAATCACCTTTAAATGATAGCTCGAGTTTTATTAAAATTTGCCATAATTTCTCGTCCAAAATTCAATGTTGTACATGATTTATGATAAGGTAATAGTTCTTAGTTTTTTTCCTTAGAAGGTCATGAGTTTTGCTTCATTTTTCACTGATAATGTGAATGGCCGCACTAGGGTATCTGGGGTGGCATGATTTTCGGTGGAACTGCGGTACAGACGGCAATATTAATCATTATAACAGCACAAACCGATTGGGAAATGGAGGTGGAGTTGGACACAATTTTGCTTCTTCATATATATATATATATATATATATATATTCATACAAATAATATATTTTCTTTTCCTTCTGTGTGGAATTGCAGGCTGAGAAAGCAACCATGCATGTTCAAAAGTGGTCAACTCCGAAACAAGACAATCTATCATAAATTGAATATTTTTGTTTAAAGATGGCATTTAACAGTGTCAATTGGATTGGAGAGTGCAATATTGCATGAGGCTCTTTTTCTCAAGATGTTTGTTCCTAATATGTCATTGCCTTTTACATATGTAGATCATCTTTTTACTTTCTAAACCAACTTGATTGCCTCATTTTCTTAGTTTTTATTTTTTTGAAAGGCAAATGTAATTATATACATTGTAAATAGGTATAATTGCATTAAACCCCATTGACTTATACGGTTTTGCGGTTCTTTAATTATTATCTATTACTCATTTCGTCCCAAATTAAATGTTCCTTTTTGAAAATCTAACTTTTAAAGAGGATTTTTATAAATATATATTTTTTTATTATATTAGTAGTGAATGAATTACCAAATATGTCTATAGTGGATCCACATTATGTGATTGTTTAAAGTTCAATACAAAAAGGTTAAATTGGTAATATTACAAAAAATAATACTTTAATTTGTCAAATGAAACATTTATTTTGAGACAGACAAAAATAGAAAAGTGGGTATTTAATTTGAGATTGAGAGATTATTATTATTATTTATTTATATTTTTTTTTGCCAAAAAAGCCCCTCCAACTAACGGGGGTTATTTTACATATAGAAGCAGGCCCTCGGAACATGGGCGATGGGCCGAAAGGTGTAAACTAGTACTGTGGAATAACAAGGGCGAGGCCCCACTAGGGCACGGGCCCAAAGGCAAACTCAGAAAAGTTTCTGGTTTTTATGTTTTATTTTTTTTGTATCATTTCTTATAAAAGTTGTTTATCGAGTATTATTTGTTTCTTAAGGATCATTTACCAGATCACAGCACGGATCATTTTCATTTTGGATAGATTGATCACAAGAAATTGAGATTAATTAGTATGGTGTTGAAAAAAATCTTTGATGTTATGATGTAGAAGTAAAATATATTCACTCTGTCCTAAAAAGAATCTCTTTTAGAAAACTATGACCCACAATTTAATGGGATACTCTTTTTGAGACAGAGGGAGTAATAATTTCTCTTTAATGGGAGAAGTACATATATTTGATTGATTCTAGGTTCATTTGACATAGGTGTGCTTTGTTGCCCATTTGGTGTGTAAGCTATACGATTTAGTGGCCGAGTCTTGGTTTTAGAGAGAATATAAAAGTTTGATGGGGCAAATTTATATAGAGGGTATTTTTTTTCTATAATTTTAGTGGGGACCATTTTAAAATTTTATAAATATAAATGCAAAAAAGTACAAATTTAAGGATATAAAATGCAATAACAAACAATTTCAGTCGGGGCGAATGCCCCCACTAAGCCTCCCATAGATTTGTCCCTCCAGAGGATTGGACACTCTAAGATTCACAAAAAAAAACCACTAATCTACTAAACTATTGCAACTATATTTGATGTTCTGATGTAAAAGTAAAATACTATAATTTCTTTTTAAAGTGAGAAGTACATATATTTGATTGAGTAGTTCATTTCACACAGGTGTGCTTTGTTTCCGGATTGGTGGGTAAGCTGCACGATTTGGTGATTGAGCCTTAGATTGAGCCACCTATCCCCCAGTTCCCTCTAATATCATTCATGAGAGAAAATGACCCTTTTCAACTAGCAAATAAAACAGCGTACAATTTATCTTTCAAACCATTAAATTTGCACTCCTCCTACCAACCAATTACAATGTGAATGGTATTTTTTATTTTTTATTTTTGATTGATTGATGAAATGAATTTCTCCCCGCTAACCTAACATACTTCCAATATAAAGTTTTGATTGTCTTTGATTTAGAAGAAGTAACCCCAACCCTTAATTGAAGTTAATTTCGAATCTCCTCCTTAATTCGTGATTGAAATCTCCTCATTAAGTTGCTCATTATCACAGGGGTTGCTATCGGATGAGGATGGCAATACTACCTCATTGGGATGCCTCTCGAAATTGTTATGGAGTGGGTTTTCCACTTGGGTGTTGAGGTATGTGTGCTTCTTTTGCATCAGTATCCTTAGATGAATAAGTTAGTAAGTTGTTCACAGACTGTTTAATGATCCAAGGTTATGTTGAAAGTTTTACATGATTCGGGACTAATCACAACTTGATATGCAAACAAATGTATTAGTGGGTGTTCGGAATTGCAAACAAATGTATTAGCCATGCAAGCTCTTAAGATGGTAGAGGTTATGTCTAAAAATCGCGTTGAAGTGAAGTTAGAAATCGTAACTTTTAAAATTGCATTACTGGTAGAGGTCCATATTTTTAGGTAACTAATTTTCTTTTAGACAATTTAATCCCTTTATATTTTTTATAAATATAATTTTATCCCTTCTACAAACAAATAGCAAACAATATCTGGGACTGTGTAACAAACGAAGATCCTAATTTATTTTGAATCTCTCTAGCGGCCTTTCAATCTCGGTTTATTTTGGAACTCTCAATTATATATATAATTGTTAGATGTTTAATTTTTAATAAATTATAACTTGTAATTTGTTTTTAAAATAACTGAAATACATTTATGCTATTATCTTAAATAACAAGTAATAAGATATTTAATTATGGTTAAAGTGTTTTGTTTTATTTTATGAAATGTTGTCTATATTGCAAAATATTATATTATTAAGTTTCATTATTAGATAATGAGCTAATTTGCTTATTTTAATATTGAAAAATTTCAAATCAGATACAAATTACTCATCATTAAAATATGTTTTACTCATTAATATTTTAGTACTCAGTACAAATTCGATATTATAAACAAAATATGTGATATTTAAAAATAAAAAATAAAAAAATAGCAAATATAAGTTGATCTTTATAAATTATTGAACTCAATGAAATTTTATAATATTTAATATTAGGGAATTAGTATATATTTAGTGTAAGGGTAACATAGTAAAATTAGTAATAATAGTGTTTTAAGCAACATTATTATCAAACAAATTTTAAAGTGCTTCAAATATAAAAAATGTTTTATACAATGTGTCACAAAACGCTTAACTGCGTTTTACTAACAACATTTTTATAATAGCTCTACTATTAAAATCGCTTTTAACATTCTAACAGCAATTCCAAACGGACTCTTAATTTTATTTAAATTTAGTCATGTTGAAATTTTTATATGATTCGAAATTAATCACAACTCGATATGCAAACAAATATATTTATTTAATTCAAATTTCTATTTGCATTTCTTGCCATGATTGACCGGCACTATATAATAATTTTTTCAAGGTCACGAAGCATCATTCATATACAATGGGAGGCCATGTGGCTTAGTAGGATGCTTCTAAGGTTCAGACCAATGCAAAACTAGGTCATTGAAGTTGTCCACTACTATAACTAACCAAATTCAGATTTCCAAATGTTTGGTGCTTTTTTCATTACCCTTTGCCATTAAATAGGCACTAAATTTAGTAGATGACTAGGACAGCTGTAAGTTGTACTATGACGTACCCTAAATGGTCCAAGGTCATTAATTTGGTTTGATAGTGATGATCAATGCAAAACTAGGTACACTACCCTTGTGTACACTACCCTTGTGTATGTTGCCATAAATATTCCATGGATTTATTTAATCAGTTAAATAATCGTAATTAACTCATATGTGAATGGTCAAAACAAGGTGCTTGGGGTGGTATGATCTTCGGTGAAACTGCTATTCAGACGGCAATATTGGCCATCATAACCGTACAAAGTGATTGGGAAAAAGAGGTAGAATATTTAAAGAATGAAAAAAATGGGTGGTGTATATACAATATATGAACCTAACTGCGTTCACCGCTAGGTTGGTATCTATCTACGTGATAATAGTGGATATCGCCCTTTTTTTTAATTTTAATTTTTTATTTTTAGTATGAAAGCATGTCATATATCATTTCAAAGGTACAAAAGTTAAGCTAACGTAATACAGAGGTAAAAAGTCAAGTTAAAAAAAGACATACAAATCATGAAGCAAAGTAATAAAATGAAGAACAGGCTCCGAATCTGTGTACAAATTATAAAGCAAAACAATAAAATAAAGAACATACTTCAGATCTGTAGAGAAAATAGAGCCTAAAACTCTACAAATGAACCATCATAGGAGAAACGCAGCAAACTGGAGTGACCCAAAAGTTAGTCCATCATCAAGGCAAAAGCTTTAAAGTTACAACCACAAGACACTCATTGAGAAATGATACTTGAACTGATTTGTTGTAATGAATTACTTAACCAAATGTTACTGATTGATTATTTATGCACAATACATGCAAGTGGAGGGCCCACTTCTTTATTTATGCATAAATGGTTCAATAAAATAAAAAAAGTCTCGCAATTCACTATAATAAATTATATAAATAAAGAAGTGGAGCCTTTTACTTACATATATTGTGCATAAATAACTAATAAAAAATATTCGATTAGGTACAATAAATCAGTGCAAATATTATTACTCTTTATTATTTAGGTCTTATAATTAAAAGATATATTGAAGACAAAAGACAAGAATGTGACAGTGACTGAACAAACATATATATATATATATATATATATATATATATATATATATATATATGTATCCATATCTACCAGTCCAATTGAAACATTACAGTACAACAAACCATTACTGTAACTAACATTCTTGGATAGGGAACTTCCAACAAATGTTCAGCGGATCATCAACCTTTTGCATATTTCCTATGAAACACTACGCTTGTACCCTGATCTAACCTCTAGGACTGTTCTATTTTATATTTATATATTGATTTTACCTTTCCAAAAGACAAAAAGAATAAATAAATAAATAAATAGATAGATAGTATTCATCCCTTTGACCACAACCACCCCACCTCGAGGGGAGGTTCCTATGGTACAAGTTTATTATTTTTATTATGGTAATTGTCCGCCTCTTTAAACAATTTATAACCTATTATTAAATGCATTTAGTTTGTCATCCCACATGCATGCACAGAATATACATTGAGAATTTTTTTTTAGGGTGCTCGAGTTCTGTAAGGTCAATATTGAGAATATGTGTTTGTTTAAATTTTTTTTAAAAATTAAAAAAAAATAATTACTTTTAATGTCAAAACTTTATCAATTAGTTGTTGATCTTGGTTTTAGAGATTTTTAATGTAACATGCAACAAATGTATTGTTCTATTTTGAAATTATCAAATTATTGTTCTACTTTGTTCGTTTGGTAACATGCAACAAATGTATTGTTCCGTACGCGTGTAGATCCCTACTCCTTAGCAAACTTTGCTTCTCAATCCCTACTCCTAACCACCAAACCTAGGTGTTTGGTGGACACTTACACGGCCACCGTTTCTTTCTCGTCTCTCTCTCTCTAGCAGTCTAGCTCCTCCTCCTCCTCCTCCTCTCTCTCTCTCTCTCTCTATATATATATATATATATATATATACAATACACTCACACTTGGTCTTTGCTTGGTAAATTACATTCGTGATGGCGGGAGTTAAACGTTATGAGGAACTAAATCAGAGCTTGTTACATAATTCAGCATCAAACGGTCTAGTAGGTGACGATGACCAAGAGAAGAAAAACTTGAAAACAAAGGTGTGGATTGAATCAAAGAAGCTTTGGCAAATAGTGGGTCCCTCCATCTTCAATAGTTTAGGTGCCTACTCGATGAACATCATCTCTGTAGCCGTCGCTGGCCACCTTGGTGAGCTTGAACTTGCTTCCTTTTCCATCGCCAACACCGTCATTGTCGGCTTCAATTATGGCCTACTGGTATCCCTCTATTTCCTTCTTTTCAATATTAATGTATATATATATATATATATATATTATAAAAATCATCCTAACACTTTCTTTTTTTTTTTTCACAACTTTCTTTAATACCTTAAAAAAAATAATAATAAATCATTCATTTTTTTCAATCAAACCTTAATTTTTTTCTTCAAAGTTTTCTGATTTTTCTTTTCTTTTTATTTTTTCTTTTTCATCTTAAATTTTTTTTAATAAAAATTCTTACATCATATATATGGAGTAGCATTTTTCTCTTAAATTCCACTCTATTATTATTATTATTATTATTTTTTTTTTTACTCAAATTAGTTGTCCCCAAGTAAAATAAATGCCATATTTCTATGAGTGTCCTTAAGTTTTCAAAAAATTTCAAATTTTAACATGTATTCCCTTCGTCTTAAAATAAGTGTCATGTTTTTATTTTTTTGTCTGTCTTAAAATAAGTGTCTACTTTTTTTAAAAAAAAATAATATATTTTACATATTTTCATATATGTCTTTTGAATTTTAAATTTCAAAATTGAATATTCAAAACTTAAAAAGTAATTTAGTGACTTTCTCAGGAGAATGCATGTCTTATACGTGTCCTTAAAAATTAGGAATAATTATACTGACCTCTTATGAGGTTTCATTGTTATACACTGACCTTCCTTTTTGTTTGTCAAATAACATTGACCTCCCCGAAAGTTATATCCATGCGTCTCCAGTCTTCGGAGCTTTGCTGGTAGGTTCATTGACACTTAATGGTCTGAGTTGTCACTGGACCGAACTGGGTTGCTACAACTCGCCGTCACCGGAGATGGGTTCTTGTAGAAGCTGCTGGCTGGGCTATCACCGGTGAAACCCACTTCTAATCAATCAATAATGAGACAAAAAATAAGGAAAGAAATACTGAAGAAAGTGAGTATTGCTTGTAGAAAGAGAAAAAGAGAGAGAGCAAAAAAGGAAAACTCTATATAAAATAATGCAAACCCAGTTTAAGAGTGCCCACTGTACCCGCCATCCTCGCCGTAGTCCTCGTCGTTCCGTTTCACTACCGAGAATACCTTGCTCGCCGCCGTTCCCCGCGCCTCGACGGTAAGCTTCGTTCCGAGCTCTCCTTCAGCCGTTTATCCTTGCCCCTATCCGTCGCCACAACTGTCATGCTTGCCGTCGTCGGTAAACAACATCCGCCGTCATCCAAGCACACTGACCGTCACCATCATCCGCGGTCTTATCATCCTTGCCGACCATTTAGTTGTTCTAAGCTCTCCGCTACCAAGCCGGTAAGTTCTATTGCCGTAAAATCCTTGATAGCTGGTAAGTTCTCTTGCCGTCGGCAGTACAAACCCGCTTGGGTCATCATGGGTAAAGCATAGTCCCAACATCTGCAAATCAGTCGCTTGCTCCCCGGGACAGTTCCTTCTAGCTTCACCACGGTTTAATTAGTCCATGCTCGTCGGTAAAGACATCTTCCTTCGCCACCGGTAAGAACAGTCCCTTGAATCGCAGTCGTTCTGTGTGTTTGACGGTACACTCCGTCATCGAGCACATCGCCGTCCATGCTCTTCTCCATTGACATCACCCGTTTCCAGCACAGACCCACTACCAAGGTGGGAACATATAAGAAACAAACATTTGGAGATGGGAGAAAGCAAGTAAGCATAGTTGCCGGGGAGCCGTCGGGGACAGAGGAGAGAGAGAGAGTGGACTTGTCGGCAGTGTCAAGGCCGTGGGAAAGGAGAAGGGAAAAAAAATCTTAACAAGGGTAATATTGGTATTTTACATCCATAATATTTTATATTTTTTTATAATAAATTAATAAGTAAGGGTAAATTAGTAATTTTATTTTTTTCCTTAATAGTATTCTTTTGAAGGGGGAAGTGAGTATAATTGACAAATTAAAAGAGAAGAATGCATAGATTAACAAAATCTCAAGAAAGATAAATATAGTTTACCTAAAAATTACTAGTCTCCAAACACCGAACATACAACTTGGCTATAGGTGAGAGATGTGGCTTAGCTGCTCCCTTCGCTATATAGCCCATGAACCCGGCTTCTCACTCAGCCTACAAGTCTAACAAGAAGCGCCGGGAATCGCTCGCTGTAATAGCTTGCTTATCGGGTGGCTTGCACCTGGGGTGGTGCGGCTGAGCCAGAGTGGGCCCAGTAGTCAGCCTATGTTTCCGACCGACATTGGAACATACACCTTAGAGACTTCAAATACCAAAATGACACATAGGGGAGTATTTTTATTTTTTATTTTCATTTGAAAAATGATATACATGCAACTACATTTACCAAACTACACAACTTACTCGATATGCATATGTGTATAGTATTTCTATTATTTTAAATAGTTGAAAAGAGTCTTTATTCAACCTTCCATTCTTTTGTAGCAGGACTCATTTTTTTCTTATTTATTTATTTATTGTTAGAACAATGACATAGTATTTAAATTTTGATTACTACACTCCTACGTTTTGTCTGCATAATAATAATAAAAAAAATTTGATCATGTTCATCATGTCCCCTAAAATAAATTTCTGGCTTCCTCCAAGTGAAGGAGGATGCATTAAATTTTACTTATTCTTTTCTGAACTAACATTAATTATGGCGGCTGCGTGAACTAGTTAGGAATGGCAAGTGCATTAGAAACACTGTGTGGGCAAGCTTTTGGGGCAAAAAGGTACAACATGTTGGGTATATATATGCAAAGGTCGTGGATTGTTCTCTTCTTTTCTTGTTTCTTGTTACTGCCACTCTACGCCTTCGCAACCCCTCTTCTGAAGCTGCTAGGGCAGACGGACGCGGTGGCCGAGCAGACCGGGGAGGTGGCATTGTGGTTGATTCCACTGCACTTCAGTTTTGCATTTCTGTTCCCAATTCAAAGATTCTTGCAGAGCCAGATCAAGGCTAATGTCCTGGCCTGGGTTTCGATGACGGTTCTCGTGTTTCATGTGTTCGGCAGCTGGCTCGTTGTGTATCGGTTTGGGTTTGGGATTGTTGGTGTGGCTGTGACATTGGATATCGCCTGGTGGCTTTCGTTTTTTGGGCTGTTGGCGTACACTCTGTTTGGTGGGTGTCCTCAAACTTGGACTGGTTTCTCAATGCAAGCCTTTTCTGGCCTCTGGGAGTTTGTCAAACTCTCTACTGCCTCCGGTGTCATGCTTTGGTATGTACTAGGCTCTCTCTAACCATCTATACATATATGGAAAAATTTTACAAACATGTAAACCCGTGATTTAGGCGACAGACTGTGCACAGAAGAGGGTGGACATTGCCCCCACCCACCAGGGGTGGTCTCACTTCCTCAGCGAGGACCATATCCCATATGGTGTAATCTCCATCCTTACTCTGTGTACAGTATTGTATAAAGTTAAGAGTGCTTTACGAGTTCCATTATATGTATGAGGACCACATTCTATGTGAGGGTAAAATGGGATGAGGGTAAAACTGAGTGATTTTAGTTTATACAGGTTCCATTTCAATAAATCAATTCTTATATACAACTATGATGCACACATTGACTTGTTACAATTAATTAAAGTGAGACCATGTCAATATCAAAGAATTGGATGTACATGTAATTATAAGATTGGTTTAAAGTATTGAATTTAATTTGACGTTATCATTGCAGCTTGGAGAATTGGTACTACCGAATATTGATTTTAATTACTGGGTACTTACCGGATGCCACACTTGCTGTGGACGCATTATCCGTCTGGTAATATTATATTTTCTTTATTATATTTCACTCCATTTTTGTTGTAGTATATATATATATATATATAATTTTAAAATATTATTTAACTTTGTTTACACGTTTTAATATAATTTGGCAGCATGAATATTAATGGGTGGGAAATGATGATTGCTCTTGCTTTCTTTGCTGCAACCGGGTACTGTTCTTTTATCTTTTTATTATTTATCTTACTATTTCCTTTGTGAAATTTTTATGTTGATGTCCAATTTATCTTTCACCATACATACCCCCAAAATAGTACTGTAATAATAATAATAATAATAATAATAATAATAATAATAATAATACGGCCTCTATTGGCAATCGGGGTATTTAGGGCTTTGTCCTGATTAATTTTCGGATCATCGTACAAAGCGCCTCTCTACATAGATAAGATAAAATTCGGATTTTTACCGGTGCATGAGTAACCCCAAAATATTGTTTACAAGGGGATCAAACCTTAAACCCATACTTCATGAAGTACAAAGTTGAAGTGAGATTAATTTGGCATTGCTATGAATCAAAATAAAAGGAACCTTAACTTAATCTCTTTTAGGTCATACAATTAATGACTATGAAGTTTTTCTTGGTTAATTGATAATTTTATCTTAAATTTTCTTTAACATTAAAAATCTATATTAAGAAACTTGGTATAAATATAAATAAATAAATATATATACATTCATGTGTTTTGCATGGGAACGCACTTAACTTTGGGATATTTTCATTGTTGAGAATGGTAGGAACAGTATTCCTGGTTAAAGTTAATTCCTGGTTAGTAAACTTTGTGCTTTTTCGAATGACTTTAAGACAAGCACGTAAATGTATTAGCCACCATACACTCGACCATTCTTATCCACTTTGTTGATGAATTAATTGGACGTCTTTTTAAAATTTTGAAGCCACTAAATTAAAATAATTTTCTTTAAAACAAGTCGTTAGAAAATGTAAAAATTACAACAAGTATATCATTATTACAAACTCTCGATCTTATGTAAATTTGGTGTTGTTTGATGAACTAATTCAGCGTTTACTTTTGAATTGATTTAGTGCTTATTTCTTTAATAACACAATTTTAATATCGCATAAAATGATCAATGCATGGCTTCAAAAATGAGTTAAAATTTTAAATGGCATTGAGGTTTATTCAAAAAATACTTAAAACATCTAGTATTTTACAAATACCTCATTTAAAATTCACATACAGTATGTATTTATATCATCAACATGCAGCACACTCGTGCTAACGTAAAAAAAATAAAAAAACAAAAGCAACCGTGTCTTAAATAAATACTTGGTTAAAATAAATTTTATTTTAATCCAACAGTAAGGTGTACTAACAAAATTCTATAAGGTTAGCTTAGTTGGAAAAAACCTGGGTCATGAAGCCTCATGCCACATCAAGTCTCAGGATTCATTCCTCCTAAGTGCACACAGTTTCTTAGGGGCAATGCTTGTGGACATAATTCGAGTTTTACTCGATCTTTGTGAGAGTGGATTAGTAGAGGCAAAGTCTCGGACACTCCGGTTATAAAACAAAAAGGTATTAACACAATGATACTCAAACCAGTTCTCTGAATTAAGTATGGGTTGTTCAGATCCTAAGTTTTTTAATTCTTGCCTTGTTTTGGGTTGGGAACTTGGTATAAATTTGACATTTTTGCCTTCTTGTTGCATATCTAAAATCTATTGTTTTGTGCACAATTTGCAGAGTAAGGGTGGCCAATGAGCTAGGTGCGGGGAACGGAAAGGGAGCTAAATTTGCAACAAAGGTCTCAGTGGTGAACTCCACAGTCATCGGCATCTTTTTTTGTGCTCTAATTATGATATTGCATGACAAAATTGGGTACATCTTCACGTCAAGCACCGAAGTTCTTGAAGCAGTCGACGAGCTCTCTTACCTCTTGGCCTTCACTATTCTCCTCAACAGTATTCAACCAGTTCTTTCAGGTGATCAATTCAACAATCCCTAATTCGGTGATTGAAAAATGTGTAGTATTTAACATTTTGATATAAATTATTAGACTAGTTTGCCAACTGTTACAGGGGTGGCCGTGGGATCCGGATGGCAGGCATGGGTTGCATACATAAATCTGGGCTGCTACTACCTTATTGGGGTTCCTCTGGGTTGTGTTATGGGGTGGGTTTTCGGCTTTGGTGTTCAGGTAAGTTCGGTTCTTGATAGGAAGAGCATTGCACTGGTCATGTTTGGAAGTATTGATTTGGCTCATTGAAATTGGAATGAAAAGAAAATTTACTTCAAACTTTGAAATAAATTTTCTCCAACTCCAATTTCAAAATTCAAAGCTTTTTTTATTTTTTTATTTTTAAATTTTAAGCATTGATAATTTTTTATAATCAGGGTATTTGGGGTGGGATGATCTTTGGCGGAACTGCTGTGCAAACAATAATATTAGCCATTATAACAATACGGTGTGATTGGGAAAAAGAGGTACAAATTAACAAATATTTCACTTTTACGACCTTTGTTCAAAGTCCATATATACTAATATGAACTCTGTATTCTTCTAAAATGGTGGATTTGCAGGTGGATAAAGCTACCAATCATGTCCAAAAGTGGTCGACTCCTGATCCAGATAATCAATCATAAGTAAAATGTAGTCGGGTCTACCACATTTTGAAGCGGCTCTTTTTTCGTTATAAGGTTTATTTTATTGATAATTGTTAACACTGATTTCTAAGCTCTTTGGACTGATTCCATTAATTTCATGTTCAAAGCTAGTATAGTTGAGCAATTAGGGTTGTTTGGGTAGACCAGCGGTACTTTACTTGTGAAGGTACATGCTAGTATGAGCAATTGTTATCAACATTAATTCTCATCTGTCTTTTTAACGATTAAACGTAAACAAACTTGATTGTCTACGAAGGCACAAAGTAATGTGAGTGGACAAGCTGATCATGGAAATCTGACTTTGGTTAAGGATGTTAATAGCTTGATTGTCTTTAGCCTAAAGCCTAAAGCCTAAATCATGAGTACAACTGTTGGAAACTAAGGTTAAATCTCTTAATGAACCAGTTGGAAAATTTCCTATGCTCCTCTGGGTTGGATTTGGATCCTATGAATATTCAATGCATTTGTATGACTGGCCAACTCATCCACATTTATGTTTCCAATGTTACTTCTAACTCTCCTACGTTTTTTGTCACATTTATCTATAAGGCTAACACACCTGAGCAGAGGAAACCGTTGTGGGATAAAATTAATGAGATAGGCTCCGCCATCTCTTCTTCTTCATGGATTTTATTTAGGGTTGTACTTTGGACGGGCTAACTCAGTCCAACCCAAACTTAACCCTAAATTTTAAAAATTGGACTTTAAATTCACAAATCGAATTCATATTCGGGTTAAGTTTTGTCAAACCCAGACATATTTGGGTTAGCTTGAACCCAACCCGAAACCCCAAAAAAAAAAAAAAAAAAAAAAAAAAAAAAAAAAAAAAATTCTCCTTTCTCTCTCCTCTCTCTTCTTTCTCTTTCTCTCCCACCGCTTGAGAGTTGAGAGGCAGCGGCGAGATCCACCGGTGCCAGGAACACCTCCAGAGACGGCGACCTCCTCCGCCGGAGAGACAAGAATATCACAATTGATGCCATTCAAATTCCAAACTCTCTCTCTAAATATATGTATATGTTTCTCTCTCGAGAATCTATATTTCTCTTCCTTTTTATCACCAGATCCGTCAACACAAATCTTCCCACTTTCTGCAACTTGTAATTTGTCGACGAAGAGGAAATGAAATTCTTTTTTTCCAAACAAGCTGAATCTCATTTTTATTAATACAACTTTAAACAGATGGAATTGAAATTCAATATATATAAGTTAGCAATTTGTAACGACCTGAACCCAAGAGTCCGAATAGCTAACCGGGTCCTTATCCGAACCCGAGGTCAACTAAAGACATAACCGTCATTACGTCAATACATAATATACGTGTCATCCCAGAGTTTAAAAATAATAATAATAATAGCAATAATAATAAAAAGATATCATAGCTACAAGATATGTCACTGCAGTCCACTAACCCATTGAACTCTGTGGAGGAGCGCCGTCGGCCACTTCTTTCCTATAACCTGAAAAATGTTAAATATATGAGGTGAACAAATTGCTCAGTAGGTGGTGCCTAAGACACACTTTTTGTGACCCTATAAATCCAAATAAGGAATAGGAAAAAGTATCGGGATCATGCCATTACCGGAATAAATATAACAACAACATCAACAATAATAATCCAAGTCATAACAAACCATGCCATATTATGGAATGCAATGTCATGTATATTACTCTCCGTTCCGAAACATTTCCATTTCAACCTCCAAACCGTTAGTGTAATCTGACCCAAGGCACCTCTAAGGCATCACGAAAGGAGGATTGGCCAACCATCCACGACCATAAGGCACCTCCAAGGCATCGCATCTGGCCTAGTTAGCTCAACCATACTTCCCTCTAGACTACACTAACACCACGGACCACTAGGCACCTCCTAGGCGTCCAGTTTTCGCAAACACTTTTAGAAAAACTTTTTTCCAAAAATAATTCCATTTGTTTTTAAAACAAACTTTTCTCTTTACTTTTCCAATGACAATGCATGAATTATGCAATTCCTTCAATGCCATGACAACATAGAATTTCATACATATTATTCACATCATTTAAGCATGTTTTAAAACATGAATTTCCACACAATACCGCATTCTCATATTTCCAAATCATGACATTTTATATACTTTTAATTCGCAAATCCAACAATTAAATTCTACACATTCTATCAACATCATATTCACATTTTGAGAAGAAATTCTAAATTTATTCCTACAACTAATAATCCCAATTTTACATTTATTTTTACAACCAATAATCCCAATTTTTCATTTATCTACACCAATTAACATGCTTCCATTTATCAATTTCTAGTAAATTACTAACACCATAGGCATGAGAAATTAACGCGTAAACATGCTTTCCACATAGCAAGTTTTAAATAAGTTATCAAGCACACAGGCATATAAAACCAACATTTAAGCATACTTTTCACACAAATTTACTTATACATATAATCATAAATTCTATATACAAAACCAAATCATTTTAGAGGCATTCATCTCAAATTAAGCATGCTTAGCTATAATTAATAAAGAATAATTCACAAGGGAACAAGAATCTCATGGATTAGGAACCCCTACCTCAAATTGTAGAAAAACCCTCAAAATGGGTCTCAAAACTCGAAATCCTAGGGGAGGCCAATACTGAAATTGCTTGTACTCACACGTAGATCTCGTCGTGCTCTCCGTTTTGTCGCAAACGACATCCAAAAATTCCCACAAATGAGGGAGTAATCAAATTTTGAAGCCTTGAAGCAAGGTGAAAAGAAAATGAAATAGAAAAGAAGGAAGGAAGGTGGTGCCGGGAAGAGGAAATGAGGAAGAGAGAATGAGAGGCTAAGTGACCTCTTGGTCACACAAATCATATTAGTGGTGGGTCCCACCACTAAAACTACCTTTTGACTTTTCTTTTTAATTTTATCACATACACCTATATATATAAATATAACTTACAACCATTACACAGTTGCATAGAGAGGGGGGCAAGCTTGAGAGTTGAGAGACAGCGGCTGAAGCTTGCAAACGGCGAACCCGAAATGGAACAGCGGGCGGTGGAAACTAAAAGATCTGGGTTTTGATTTTTGTACAATCTGAAATGATATGTCGATCTGGGTTTTGATTTTTTGAACAATCTGAGATTGATTTTTTGAACAATCTGAAATGATATGCCGATATGGGTTTTGAACTTTTGATTCTTGCAGATAGATAGATAAAACTGAAATATATGAGTTTTGAACTTCTGATTCTTGTAGATTTTGTAGTTTGCAGTTGGAAAGAGAGAGAGAGAGAGGGCAAGTTCAGAGAGAATAAAGATGGAGGGCATAGGGGAGGCTGAAATGATTTGCCCTAAAAATATTTTATTTTATTTATAATAATATAATCACATATAAAATATTATATATATATATATATATATATATATATATATATATAAATTTCTGAAAAAAAAAATTAAAAAAAAAAAAGTTAAACCTTTCAATCCGACCCAACCCGCCCGAAAATATTCGGTCTGGGTTATGACCATAACCCATGTTGAGTATAATTCGTGCTGGCCCAAGTCAACCAGCTTCAGGTTAAGGTTGTGTTGGGATTAGGCTGGGTTGGACCAACCCAAATTACAGCCCTTTTAACGGGGGACTTCAATACTATAAGATGGACAAGTGAGAGGTATGATGGGACAGAACTGTGGACTCCAACCATGAATTATCTTGATGAATGTTTGCTAGATATCTTGATGAATGTTTGCTAGAAAATAAGTTAAATGATTTAAGATATTCTCAACTGTTTCACACTTGGTCAAACAAATCACAAATCCACAATCCAATTACCAAAAAATTGGACAAAGTTGTCATATATTACTTTTACTAGTGTTTACACCCTAAAAATAAATTTTAATTCAGCCACATGGTATCGAATAATTTGACAAAAGTTCTTACTTCAATTAATTTAAATTAATTAATTGTTGGATGACTTCTTATGATAAGCTGTAATAATAAATGATTATTTACAGTTGATACAAACACTTAGGACTCTTATTCAAATTGGAGTCTAAAGTTACGAATTGCAGCTACGTCAGTTTGATTCCAAAAAATACGGTCATTTGGATGAGCGAAAAATGAGTGTATGTGGATAAGCTTAAGACAAAATGGAGTGTATTTGGATAAGGAATTTTTTTTTTTTAATTCAAATATAATATTTGAATTTGAAAAGGAAACTTATTTTACTAACTGCTTGGAGCCTCAACTATAATGTCATTACCCCGAATTTTCTAATAAAATCCTCAATTTATATAAATCTAAATACATTAGGATCACAAAAAAATGTCCTCTTTTCTATAAAGTTAATTACCTAAAAAATATACAAAATTCTCCAAATAAATAAAATAAATCATACAACGCCGACTCTTCCACCTAAGCCCGTATCTAGCAATCCCCGTTCATCTTCGGTACCTGAAATTGGATAGTGGTGAGACAAAAAATCCCAGTAGGAAAAACCATAATAGGAATTTCATGGAGGTTTAATAAAACAGCTTCACAAAATAAACATATAAGGGTGAGCATAAACAAAATACAAATGTATTTAATTAAAACATTTAATAAAAACATTGACACAAAACCTCCCCATACAATTCAAGGTATAGAGAACCCTACACTGAAACATAAATCATCACTGAAACATCTGGGTATCAAACTTCCGGCCTCCTCTGTAACTCTCGGCTCCTATATCATTCCTCTATTTTTTTTCCTCTTTCTGTCTCTCAAACTCACTCTCTTAATCTTCTTTTATTTTTTTCTTTCTTTCTTTAGCTTACCAAAGTTGCAAACACAGACGTCTTTATAAAGAGGGCAAAGTACAAAGAACCCCCTTCGACTTATAACATTTTCCAGTAAATTCCCTTGACTATTTTTTTACTAAAGAACAACCCTCGACTTGTATTCTTTTTCCAATAAATTTCCATTGTCTAATTTTTTACCAAAAAACCCCCCTCAGCTATTTGAAAGGGGTAAAAGAATTGATAATTGGACCAAAATACCATTTTATTTAAATATTAATTCTCCCGAACTTCAAAAATTCATATATCACAAACTGTACATTTTAAAATTATAAATAATATATGTACAGAAAGCTTATAAAATAAGGATCCCAGAAATATAAGATTGGTACAACAAACCTTCATAACCAGAGAAAAATAAGAAATCTAAAAATCTACTCCAATATTTTTAATAAATAAAATACTCGAGATATTTGTAAGAAAATTTTAAGAATTATTCATTTACATATGAAGCCGAATATATAAAAAATTTAACTCCAACAGAGATCAATTTCATGAGATATCATATTTTGCGTCAAAGTATTTTCATTTTTTTATAGACTTGCCATGTAAAAAAATATAAAAATGAATATTCAATCTCTATTGGGACTAATTTTTTTATATGTTATGCTTCATATGAAACTGAATAATTTTGAAAATTTTCTTTCAAATAACCCGAGTATATATTTTATAAAAAATAAAATTATTGCAGTATATTTTTAGATTGTTATTTCTCTTTGGTTATGAAGTTTTGTTAAACAAGTTTTATATTTTTGAAATTTTTGTTTTATAAGTTTTCCGTGCATATATTACTTGTAATATTTGGATGTATAGTTTGTGAGATATGAATTTTTGATATTTGGAAAAATTAAGATTTAAATAAAAAGGTATTTTAGTCCAAATATCAACTCTTTTATACCCTTTAAATAATTGATGGGCGTTATTTGGTAAAAAATTGGACAAGGTAGATTTATTGGAAAATGTTACAAATTAAGGGAATTCTTTGACAAAAAAATTAGACGAGGAGTGTTAATTGAAAAAAGTTATAAGTCAAGAAGAGTTTTTTTTGTACTTTGCAATTCGACCGACACGCAACAAAATCAGCCAACAAAACCCACATGTACAATTCAAAGCCAGAAAAAAATTGACCAAAAATCCAAATGAATCCCTACATCATCACTATACATTATCATTTCAATTTCCCTTTCTACCTTTTCCTTTATCTTTTTTTCTTACCAAAACACAATTCAATGTGAAAAGCTTTTTGCCCAAAAATTTCTTCGTAGGTCCCACCACTATCTATCACAATTTCCATCGTCACATCGTTTCCTTTTCCTCCTCTCATTTCGGCCAACTTGCCTTCCATCTTCATTATTAGATAAGATACAATATATATACATATATATACATATATATACATGAAACCAACCCATTAAATGTATAAAGTGGGACCCGCCCAAGAAACCATCACAATTTCCTTTATCTCTCTCTCTCTTCCAATCTCGCTGGTACCTTGCTACCACCGACAGATATATATTATGTAACCCAAATACCAAATCAATTAAAATTAAACATTAGTCTTCAATTTGATAAGTCCCCAATATATATCATGTAACCCAAATACCAAATCAATTAAAATTAAGCATTAGTCTCCAATTTAGAATAAAATAATCAATCTTTGACAATTAAATTAAAATTCATAAAAGAAATTAAAATTTTAAAAAATTTGGGTTATCACATATAAATAGAAAAAGAAGACATTGTGTAAAAGGTCCCCGACGACACAACACATTATTCATTCCCTGCAATTTCATACTTAGTCTTTCATTTACATTGTACTTCTTTTCTTAAGAATAGTTCTGTTAGAATTCAATTCTTGTACTTGTATTACTTGTGTAAGAATTTCACTTATGAAATAAGATGGATGCTAATACTTAAGTATTCCCTCCATTATTATTTTATAAGTTTATTTGGGATTGATGAACGCTTGTGCAATTAGTGTATGTTACTCCCTTCATCCAATTCCAGCCTTTATTTTATTTTATTTTGTTAAAAGTCCTTTTAATTGAGGCGTTGAAGAACCTGAAGGAAGGGATTATCCTTGCCTTTTAGCAAGTTGATTGATGAAATTGAAAAATAAGTTATTTTATTTCTTGATGACATAAAGTATTCTTTTTAGAAAGAAAAAAATTTTTTGGGTAAAATATTTTTTATTTTTACTTTGTCAGTATTTGGCAAAGATTAACATCGAAACAAAGGTCAAGTTCATTAGGCAGGATATGTAAAATAATTTGTCAGAAAATTTATGAATAAATTATTTTTTTGTTAAATTTATGGACAGTACAAGAACTTCCAACAAATATTCAGCGGATCATCAACCTTTTGCATTTTGATTTAAATCCGAATTGCCTAATTCTATGTCTCTTAAGTAGTTCTCACTTTCATTTATAAATATTACTACTTTCGACAAGTACAACACACCAGATTTGTTAATTATTATTTTTTCACTACTAAACCCAATTAAGAGACCATTGACCAACTCACAATTTAGTTCTGCTACTTAAAATAGGCGGTTTTCACTTAATTAGCTCAATAATATCTATTCAAGAAAGATAGTATCCAACCTTTGACCACAACTACCCTTTTTGAGGGGAGGTTCCTATGGTATAAGTTTATTATTTTTATTATGGCAATTGTCTACCTCTTTGAACACTAATCTATCATCAAATATTTACAGTTTGTCTTCCAACATGCATGCACGGAATACACATTGAGATTTTTTTTTTTTTTTTGAGAGTGTTCGAGTTCTGTAAGGTCAATATTGAGAGTTTGCGTTTGTTTAAATTTTTTAAAAAAATTAAAAATAAATATTTACTTTTAATGTCAAAAACTTTATGAATTAGTTGTTGATCTTGGTATTAGAGGTTAAAAAATTAAAAATAAATAATTACTTTTAATGTCAAAAACTTTATCAATTTGTTGTTGATCTTGGTATTAGA